CAGAGCCCTCTCTCCGGCCATTCGCCGAGCCGCCGCGGCCCTCGGTTTGTTCGGCTTGCGTTCCGGCGCGGGAGGTCGGGAGCGTGGCGAACTCCGAGCGGGCGAACTGGGAGGGCCGAAGGGCGTGGGTGGCCGGCCGGCGTCTCTCTCCTCCTTGCTCTGCTTTGCCGCACCTGCCGGACCTGCTCGGGTAGGTCTTGTTTGTGCACCCCGTTTTACAGAGAAGTCCTTAACGACTGAGAGCGGGGGGACTTCTTTGGAACCAGATAATGAGCATGCGAGCCCCCCATTCTTCGTGCCTTGCTTTGGTGGGGTCTGGGCAGAGTGGGATGTTGCCCCAGACGGCATCAGGCATCAGGGGAGGTGGGGACTGAAAGGGAGGGAGGAGGGATGTCGCACGACCCAGGCCAGCTGTTCTGGAATGGGACTTGGGGTGCGGGGTGGGGGAAGGGGATTCCAACCCCTTTTTGAATATCCCTTCTCTATGCAATCCCGTAACTGTCTCATTGCTCTCGTCTTACTAGTCTGGTTCGTTATTTTATCGAAAAACTTTGTCAGAAAGATTATGGGAAGGAACAAGCCATGCCTGAAGGCATCACCAATGGCTGGCTGAGTAACGACATACCACGGAGTTTTGACCGGTTTGTGTAATCATTACAGAAACACTACACGTGTGGCTGTGGGGTTCGGGCCACCGCCGTTTGGGGAATTCGCGGGGATCTCTAACACCCTAAAATGCATTTAAAATAATAAATTCTCTAGGTGGCCCTAAAGCAGTCCACTGTAGAATATTTACAGTGATGAGAAGTAGTGAGTAGATGTCAAGTTTTCCATAACCCATTGATCAAGGAGCCAGCAGATGACAAAGAGTAGTTCAACAGGGAATATACAGAAACGAGCATTTTTGAAGTGCATGAAAACAAGGGAAATTACTGATTATCCTACTGTGCTGTGAACCCATAATCTCTGGGATTCTCTTTTCTTTTTCTTAAACAGAAGGGAAATTATTGCACCTTAATGAAGTATCCTCTAACACTAACCCAGTTTTGGTGTTTGTTTGTTCTTTTTAAGTTTCTGAATTGCTTCTGGCAAGGGAACCATGTAAAATATCTCTGTGGCCCAGTGATTAAATGTTCAACTGTTAACTTTGGTGTGAGTCTTAACAATTGCTCCGTAGGAGAAATGCCTGGTAACCTGCTTCTGTGAAGATTTAACAGCCTTGGAAACTCCACAGGTTGCGGGGATTCAGAATTAACTCAATGTCAGTGGCTTGGATCAATGACTAAGAGTAACAAGTTATGTGGCCCTAGTCAAAGGGTCCTTAGGTGGGTTTATAAATCCGTGTTTTCAAGTGAAGTACAACCAGGTGCAATCTTATTTCAACTCTTACTTCATTTCCATACAAAAACCATTTCAAGGCAGCAATTGGGAGCAGAAGGAAGAGATGATTATCCAATTGAGCTGAAAAGAATCTTAATGGTCAGTTCAAGTTCTAGTTTTGTAAATGAATGTACATGGTGTGCTTGGTCACTGTGGTCTAAGAACTAAAACACAGACTAATTTAACATTCAAATTAAATTAAATACAAATAAAAAATAAAGTTCAGTACAATACAGCAGCTTAAACCACTGAATCTTATCAAAGAATAAGATTTGTAGGTAAGTCAATATGGAAATAGGGCTTTAGGCCTGGCTCTGACTTAGAATGGCTGCATTTCTGTGAGTCGTCTGTCATGTGGCTCAATTTCCTCAACTACTGACATAAGGAGTATTTGCTCTAACCATTGTCCCATTAGAGCTCTAGGTTAAAAGAATATGAGGAGTCCACTATGTGGCCCCCAATGTTCCTCTTGGAAGGGAACATAATTTCTAGGTATGAATGCTAAACTTCAGATGAGAAGAGGAGGTGATTAAGTGTGGGGCTTACAGTGAAGAGTGAGAAGTGGACTCCGACTCCAGCATCCTTTTTGCCCTTTCTATGAGGGCCGGGAAAAGGGAGGAGAGTGTGATAGGTGGGAGGACAGAATGGGGCATGGAAAGAGCTAGAAGTCTTCCACATGCCCGGCTACCACTACTTCAAAAGATCTAGCAGGGCTTTCTGTGCATGTGAAAATAAAATTGAGCCTGGTGCCTGAGGTCACCTTAGTAAGAATGAGCAGAGACAGGACACATCAGCTACTACCAGTGTCTTTTGGGTGTCTCTGGTGTGAACCAGTGTTTTAGGTAAAGTTGGGAACTTATTGAGGGCAGCAATGTTCTCTCTAGAAGGTCTTGGAAAGCTGTGACTGGCTTTCAGATCCTCCACTACACCAGGGCCTTTGGATCAGTTGCTTGACTTCACCTCACCTCAGTTGGGGATTGCTAATTGTTGCTAAACAACCCAGACTACTAATAGCTAATACCAGAACAATACTAGCTTGCATACAAAATAACATTGAAGCTACCAGAATTCTGGGCTAGAAATGTGACTACAAATACATCTTTTTCTCTTGATACAGTCAGATTCCTATTCATAGAGGTCTAGACTATAATAAAGCTAATCAGAAGAAACAAAAAATAAACCATTGACAAAGCTAAAAATTAAATAGTTAAAAAACATTTCCTTTATAACTTACATGAGGCCCTTGAAATCAGGCTTAGCACATGCTGAAGTCAAAACTAGTATTTTTTCTTCTCCTTCTTTTTAACAGTATTGCGAAGAGTTGTGCAATCATCACCACAATCAATTTTAGAACATTTTCTTTTTTCTTGTGCTCGTTGTTGGCTCCTCGTTTCCCCTTTGCCCATGCCCCTATGGCAGAAACTATTGAGAGCTGGAACAAATTTAAATTAATCAAAAGGGAGATCAAATGATAAGATATTCTACTTTACTTTCTTAGATCTGCCATAGTCCACTTTACAATGCTCACTGTCTGATAGGACTAGTATTTTCTCCATTCTTGGAACAATGTGTTAACAATGTCCACTGTGTCTGAATAATCACTTCATTGCTGTCTCTGAATTAGACTGATTTAGCTAGATTACCACCTAGTTTGATGAATGGAGGAAGTCTTTGGCATTTTCTGGACTCAGCTCCACCCCTGAGGAAGCTCAGACCTGCTGTGTGCCTCTGTGGTAGAGGGGAACCAGGCTATGATCCCTGGAGGCTTGGCTCAGTGCTGTGGACTCTGTCCTGATATATCACAGGTACAATCAGATACGAGTTTGGGTCATTGGGCTTGACATTTTCTGTGATAATCCAACAGAACTGAGAGCTTTAGTTGCATGGTAGGCAGCTTGAGTGAGTCCTCACCAAACTTGATCTTTGACTGATTTAGATGAGCCCTTAAAAACTGATGGGAAGTGAGAAGGGGAAAGGGTGGGAAGGGGCCTCAGTGGCAAATCTGAAGCCAAACTCCGAATACTGCTTTGCTGTGAATGATGGCGTCTCCATTCTGTGCTTTGCTTGCTTCTCTATTAAATGGACGCCTCGAATATGTGACTTAACAGATTGTTTCCAGTTTTGAGAATTTTGAGACTCTAGATTTGCAAGCAATTCAAATTTAATCTTATTATGTTAGTTAGACTACTTATTTCCAATCTCTTCACATATTCAACAAATGTCTCTTGAGTACCTACTCTATGCTGCTAAGCAATGGCGGACAAGTAGATGCAGCCCATTCTGAGAGAGCTCATTGCTCATGAGTTAAGTAAGCAGGCTAGAATTGAATAAGCAATTTGAGTGCATGTTAAGTACTAGAACAGAGTATATACAGGGTTAGAAACTTGTAGCAAAGTCATTTTGCCTTGTTAATGGTACTTTCCCTAGACTGGTAAGGCTTTTCGGTTAATGAAATATAAACTAAGACCCGAAGGGTGGCCAGGGGTCAGTTAACCAAGGGATAGAGGGAAAGCAAAATACTTTTCTAGGTAGACGACCCAGTGTGGGTAAAGGCCCAGCAGTAATGGAGAATATAGTATTTTAAAAAGACTGGACGAAGTTCGGAAAGGCTGAGTGAGATGTGTGGAATGGAGAGAGACGGCAGATAGGGACTGAATTAAGTAAAGCTAAGGAACACAGACTTATTCTGGTGAGTGTGGATAGCCACGTCAGCGTTCTAATCAGAGAAGTACACTGAAAGATGGGAGCACAAAATAGGACTGTCTAGCACTAACAATAGGAAACAAGGATAAAACGAATAAGATAATTATCGTCTGTTGTAGGAAGTAGGCCAAAATATGTTGAAAATGAAACTTGAAACATGTTAAGTGCTCTGCTATTTTTGTCATTAATCTAGAATAAGAAAAAACATTTTTTTAATAAATAAATAAAATTTTAAAAAGCTAGAATAAGAAATGAATCGGTTGTATTTAGTAGGAATAGAAAAAAGTACAAAGAAAGACTGATTTATAACATTTCTTTTACATGATCACAAAGCAAAGTTAATGATTTAGTTTAATTGAACTTTGTTTATGATTATAAACCAGATGGTTTATAGTGGTTTATGGTTTATAGTGTTTTCCCAACTTAGGGGCTGAAATTTAAAAATGATGAAAAGTTTCAACAAATGCTTTCTCTTGTATACCCGAAAAGGAGCCCAGGTAGTATGCGTTGGGCTTCTTAATCACAAGGTCAGCACTTCGAACCCACCAGCTGCTCCATGGAAGAAAGATGAGGCTTTCTGCTCCCACAATGACTTAGAGCCTGAGAAACCCAAAGGGAGAGTTCTACCCTTGGCCTGCTGGGTGCTCTGAGTCAGAATTAACTTGATGGCAGTGAACTGACTTAGCATATCCCCAGTGAACTCTGGTGGGTGCATTGGTGGGATGGGGCCTGTTTTCTTCAGATGCACACAGTTACCAGAAGGAAAGGACTTTTTAAAACTGGGTTATGATAAGCTGTGTTCACGGTCCTACTTTTCATTTGTCCTTTATGCGTTTTTCAGTGTAGCATGTTGTCATGGTTAAAAAAACAAGAAACACCACCTTGAAGGTGGGAGCTACAGAAAGATTAATTGGCCCAGGCCTCGGAAGTAGGATCACACCTCTCGCAGATGAGTAGTGGCTCTTCGGAGCTTCCAGCAGGAGAGCTGCTGTGCAGATTTAACAGAACAGAGCACTGGGGCAGTTAATGAAGTCTGGTCGAGTTACCTGAAGAAGGGCATGTTGTTGCTTCCTCTTAGCCACCCAGTCGGTTCTGACTCATGGCAACTCCATGTACAACAGAAGTACACCCTATCTAGGTATATGTGCTATCTCCGTGTGCAGAGCTAATCTAGTGCTCCCATTTTCAGGTGGGAATACTGAAGTCAGAGGGGTTAGGCTGTTTGCAAGTTTGTAGACTAAAACTGGGGAGCCCTCCTCATTGTTTATGAGGATATCGTAATAAGTTATGATTATCATAACACGTAAGCACCCATTTGAATACCTGATGTGTTAGACATAGAATTAATAATCCCTTTACCTATATCTTTAAGCTTCTCATGACCTAGTTATTGTCTGTTTTAAATTGGTTGTTGATATTATGTGTTTTCAGTAATGGAAAGCTTGCTGAAATCAAGGCGGAATTTTTTTTAAGTAATATGGATTACAATACAATTATGTGGGACACATATGAAGGGGCTTTAAAAAGCTCGAAAAACTGGAGTTAAAAGAATGAAATGTTTTCATTGAACATCTGAAACACCCTCTATGTCCCAAGTGGACTCTGGTTGTACGGTTGGCGGAGTGAGTCTCTGCCATGTGGGAGCACATATTACAACTGGGATAGCAGCTTCCCAAGCAACCCTAGAGGTTGAACATATTGGTGGGCTATAAATGTCCTACAGGTTATGGAATGGGTGAGGCTCATGTGTTTTAATATTCAGAAGCAGTCTCTGAGTAGTCAAAGACAACATAACCAATAAGTAATTTACCAGGGATCTGAAGTCGTGTATACCTCAGCCCGTGGTGGTATCAACTGGCTGTGCATTGGGCTACTAACTACAGGGTCAGCAGTTCGGGCCAACAGCTGCTCCGAAGACGGTAGGTGAAGCTTCCCGTTCTGTAAAGACTTACAGCCTTGGAAACCCCAGGGGGCAGTTCTTTTCTGCCTATAGGGTCTCTGAGTCAGAATCCACTCGTTGGCAGTGGTTGGAGAGCTGTGTTTTTTTACTTGTGCTGTGGTTGCAATTTGGTACTGATCTTTGTTAGCTTCACCATACAGACTGTAAAGTAGCAAGGTTATTTTCTTGCCTTGCATTATAAAAATAAAATATTTCACGATAATATATTTCCATGTAATTATTTAAATGTTTAAATGTTTTTATCCCTTAAGAAATAGGAGAATAGAGGACTGCAGGTTTGTGTCGGTAACATTCCTACCTCTAGTTAATAGGTGTACGTCCGTATTTTCTTCTTTTAGTCTCCTGTTCTGCCAGTGGATGCTATCTTGTCGTGTTTATGTATTTTTCTAAATGCATAAGAATAAGGCTGATAATTGCTATTTTGTTTAGGAGTTCTGGATCAAGTAAACTCTTGACTACTAACCAAAAGATTGGTAGTTCAAACCCACCCAAGCAGCTCTGTGGGAGAAAACCCTGCCAATCTAGCCAAGAAAACCCAATGGGGCAGTGTTGCTCATGGGGTCCCGATGAGTTAAAGTCGATTTAATGGCTCATGACAACAATCTCGTTATTCTGTGGGACTGGGGCTTTTGGTGTTGCGTAGTGATGCATCTGTTCTAACTAGCTTCTGTTAGTCAACATAAAGTGAATTATCTTTTCTTTCTTCAGAAGGAAGACCCATGCATAAAGGTCATAGAAACAGTTGCCTTGACTACATTTTCTTGGATAAGACACGGCACAGCTCAGAAGACTTACATTTATCCTGAGACACTTTGGGCGCAAAACTTGGGATAATGAATCTTGAAAGTGATGGAGCTGCATCAGAGAGCATTTTTGATTTGGACTATGCTTCATGGAAAATACGCTTAACGCTAGTGGTGGCTGGTTTTCTCTTTTACCTTGGTGTCTTTGTTGTCTGTCACCAGCTGTCTTCCTCTCTGAATGCCACTTACCGCTCGCTAGTGGCGAAAGAAAAGGTCTTCTGGAATCTTGCAGCCACTCGTGCTGTCTTCGGGGTTCAGAGCACTGCCGCGGGCTTGTGGGCTTTGCTGGCCGACCCCGTGCTTCACACCGACAAAGGACTTAACCAGCAAAACTGGTGTTGGTTTAATGTTGCAACAGCCACCGGATTCTTCTTCTTTGAAAACGTAGCAGTTCACCTGTCCAATTGGTGCTTCCAGACATTTGATTTGTTTTTAGTTGTCCATCATCTCTTTGCCTTTCTTGGATTTCTTGGTTCAGTGATCAACCTCAAAGCTGGCCACTATTTAGCCATGACCACCTTACTCTTGGAGATGAGCACCCCCTTCACCTGCATATCCTGGATGCTCCTAAAGGTAAGCTGTTGTCTGTTGGGGATTCATTCCCTGCTTCTGCAGTGGCCCGCACAAGTTGAGGAGCCAAGTCGTCATTCACTTTGTATGAATGGATCGTGCGGCATCGGGGACCATGCCATAGAGTCACCAGCACACTCAGCTACAGCACACACAGTCAGTAGTCAACATTTTGGTTGAATTCTGTTTTATTCATTTTAAACCTTTTGGTTTTCCATTTTAAAAATTCTCAGTGAACCTTTAATTCTGTAGATCTGTTTTTTGTAAGCCCTAGAAAAGATAGTTCCTTTTCTTGGAAAGGCTTTAAAAAGTCTTTTAAAGTAAAGCATGGGTGTACACACATAGCTTTGTTGGCTTTATTAAGGTTGTTTTACTCGTGTAAGTATTGGAAGTGTTAGGCACCTACAATCATTACTTGCTTAACATGTTTGGTAACACTTTTCTTGCTTTTGGAAACATTTTGTTCACAGGCTATTTTATATGAAACTTGGAAAATGATGTGTTTTTGCTGTCAATTTTTAATGCCACAAAGTGGTCATATTGTTGAGTCCTTGTTTGTAGAAAGAACACTTTGATAAATATTGAGCAGAAATGAAAGTATACCAGTCTTTCACATCAAAGAATTACCCGAGTAAATGTTGCAGACAATGCATACATAACAGATGTTTACTGACCACCACCTGAAAACTCAAAAGCATGATACTATTTTGCCACGAGGCTGTCCCAGTGTAGTATCAAATGGAAGGTGTAAGTACCATAATAGAGTTAAGTGCAGGCAACATGGGGTCTCCAGTGGGAGCTTACACGGCCTGTGTAGGAACAAACCCCAAAAAACCAAACCCGCTGTCATCGCGTCAATCCTGCCTGACCCTTCGCTACCCTAGAGGACAAGGTAGAATGCCCCTGTGGGTTCCAAGACTAAATCTTACAGGAGTAGAAAGCCTCATCTTTCTCCCTCAGGGGGGCTGATGGTTTCAAACTGTTGTCCTTGGGGTTAGCAGCCCAATGCGTAATCTACTGCGTTACCAGGGCTCTCGTATAGGGAGCAAGCTGAGGGGGGCTTTATTGAATCAAGGTGTAGGTAAGGATTAGGTTTTGTTTGTTTTTAAGACCAGTATAAAGCCTTGTTACAGGTTGACCATGAAAATAAATAGTGTGCACAAGTTATGGGAGCTCGAGTGGGTTACAGCTTGAGCTGTTGACCATGAAGGCAACAGGTGGAAACCGCCAGCTGCACCATGGGAGAAAGATAGGCCTTTCCACTCCCGGGAAGATGCACAGTCTCAAACCAACAGGGGCAGCTCTGCTCTCCTGGGGGGCACTGTGAGTGTGATAGACTTAATGGCAGTTTGTTTGAAGGTTTTGTTTTTGCTTTTTTTCCTTTTTAAAATCATTTTATTGGGGACTCGAACAACTGTTAGCACAATCCATCCATCCATCCATCGTGTCAGGCACATTTGTACATTTGTTGCCATCATCATTCTCAAAATAGTTTCTTTCTACTTGAGCCCTTGGGAGTTTGAGTTTTTGATGGACAAGTTAGACTTAGTTTCTGTGCCGGAAAAACAAAAGGCATTTAAATATAAAGCTCCTGGTTTATGTGTAGGGATCGTTTTAGAGATGCTGTGGCCTGGCCCCTTGTAAATATCTGTGCACATCTCTTGTTAGAGCCGCAGCTCTCGGTTTGTCTTTGAGGCTGTCCTCGCCACAGCAGTGGAGCCTTCTTGAAGACCTGGAACAGGGTCTGACTGTGACTGTGACTGTTCCTCTGCCACAGAAGCCAGCCCAAGACGTTCTGTGAGCTAGTATGGACTGAAGGCGTCCGTACCAGAGACTTTGGTAGAGCTTTAGTGTGCTAACTACATGTATATGTCAATAATGAAACTAAAGCTAAGAAAATGGATGTTTTTATGTTGGGAGAAAACAGGTTATTTGCGCTTTTAACGTTTTATTAAGTTTTGCAGGAAGTTCTTTAACAAGCAGAGGAGGAAGCAGCAGCTCCTCTTAGAGCCAAATGTGTAGGCGGAGTAGAAGTCTCCGAGGCCAGTAAGATCTGGTCTGTGGATCTCATTTCATGGGGTGTCTCCTTGGAAGCCCCCCTGAACGTAGTGTTTATACATTGACCTGTAATCCGAAAGGTCAGCAATTCAAAACCACCAGCCACTCCTTCGGGAGAAAGATGGGCTTTCTTCTCCCATGAAGAGTTACAGTCTGGGAAACCCATCGGGCAGTTAGTTCTACCCTGCACTGTAGGGTGGCTATAAGTTGTCATCAGCTCAATGGCAGTGAGTGCGTTTGTTTGTTTTTGGAGTGATCTTTCAGAAGATAGATTACAGGAAGTCTGCTATCACTAGAGTTAAGGGCCTTAATTTTGGTTTGCCACATTCTCTTAAGGATTCGGATTGTACAGAATGGAACAAAGGTTATTTAAGTCATTGTTTCTCACCCCAGTATGCTAAATTGAAATCCAATAAGGCTACAGAAATTAGACTCTAGCCAAAAAAATAGCTTTGAGTCTGTTTCTAGGCAGTTTATTTCTTGTTCTTGCTCACACACTATTATAAGTAAACAATTGTGCCTAAATATTGCAGTCTTTTCAAGCTTTAGTAAAGTTGCCAAATTCTTGCGTAGCTCAATATCAGAATTTAGAAGATTACCCCACTCACCATCCAGGGGTCTAAATTGAAAAGATACTAAAGAATGGAAAGGAGGACACAAAAAATCACCAATACTTTAAGGTGGATTTTATTCCTCAAGGACAGTTAATCTTTTTTCTCAGATTCAATTTTGAACGCTTAGAAAAATTTAAAATAATTACATTGAATTCGAACTAATCTATAGGCCAAGCGAGAAGATCTAAAAATACTGTCAATTTATGTACACACATATATATTTTTACATATGTAGTATACATACTAGTTAACATCCAAAGCTATGTAAATCTGTACAAAACACAAATGTTTACATGCATTATCTTGCACATTTTGGCAATGTACCCTAACTTTTGTCAAAGCACTTGGTGGTTCTCAATATAAAAATTCCACTCCCTGATTAAGACAACAGAATGTTTAATATTCAGGCTTTGAATTTCTTAAAACTTTGCACAATATGTAACAGTACATATTTTTTTCTATCGTGGATATTAATAATTTAAAGAGTCTGCTTTCAGTGCGAGGGAAAGAATGGAGAACTGTTTCAGTGCAATGACTAAGTGAAAATGACTCAGTGCAGCGTAGAGCTGCCCCTGGGGGTTCTGAGACCAGCTCTTTACAGGAATAGGATGCCTGGCTTTCCCCTGCCAAGGGGCTGGAGGTTTTAAACCGCTGACCTTGTGGTTAGCAGCCCAGCACATACCCACTTCACCAGAGCAGGGCTCCTTGTGAAATGAAGACAGTGCTTGTGAAATTGAACCAAGGCACAGATGATTCGGAAGAATGTCCTGGTTGGAACCCACCCAGCGACTCTCGCGAGAAGAGACTGGCCACTCCGTTCGTCGAGAGGATGACCAGACACTCGTGTGGCACAGTGCTGCGCCGTAGGCCGGGCCGCCTGAGTCAGAAAGATTCCAGGGCAACTGGCAGATGAACCACCGGAGGAGGACACGTGCCCTGATCTACAGATTAACGTTTTTAAATCTGTGTGATTTTTTTTTAGGGTAGACAAGTATTAACTTGGGTGGGGGGAAAAGGCTTACATAATAAATAAAGTACTCATAAATTCTTTTGAGTTCATATCAAAACTTATTGATTATGTAAAGTTAGGATAGAATGAGCAGCATGGTTAACATTCTTTGAGGCATGTCGGTTCATAAGCGGGGTGGGGAGTGGGGAGGAAGTGGAATAAAATGAGCTGATACCAAGGGCTCACGCAGAAAGCAAATGTTTTGAGAATGGTGATAATAACAAATGTACAAATGTGCTTGACACAATGGATGGATGCATGTGTTGTGGTAAGAGTTGTACAAGCCCCCAGTAAAAGGATTGTTGTTGTTTTTTTCTAAGTTCAAGGACTATTTGTTGGCCTTTAGGAGTGTTTTCTGGTCGAATTTGATAGGATTGTTGGTTTTTTTTTCTAAGTTCAAGGACTATTTGTTGGCTTTTAGGAGTGTTTTCCGGTCGAATTTGATAGGGCACCAACCCCTGGCCCCAAAGTGTATTTTTGGTATTCCCTGGAGACTTCATTGCTCTGTTCCCCTTACTGTTCTGTTCCACACCCTTACTGTTCTGTTCCATACCCTTAGTGTTCTGCCTCGGTGTGGTGGGATCCGATCGGGCGCAATTCCCACACTGTGTCTCCAGTATTGTCGCCTGTAGGCCTATGGGTCAGTGAGGGATGTTGTGTCTCATAGTGGGACCGGCCATATGGTCTTCTCTATAGCTTGGCTGCTCTGAGTGGGAATATCGTTTTCAAGCATTGGTGAGCCAGAGTGTGCTCCATTCTCTCTTCCTCCCCCTTCATTTGCTCCGATGTGCTCTGATCAGACATGTCCCTCTCCCGCAGCTGCAAATTCAGTACTGTCCTCAAATAAATTCTGGGGGGAGGCAATAAAATGATTTTTTTTTTTTTTAAAAGAATTGAGACATGTCTTACACTGGGCCATGTCAAAGACCAGGTTCCCTATTTCCTAGCTGAACAGTCTTGGGCAAGTTACTTAACCTGTCTAGTCACTATTTTCATGCGTAAAATTGGGGTTGTTGGGAATCTTAAAGTGCACCTGAGTAAAGTGCACCTGTAAGTCAAGAAACACAAGAAAGGTGTTTAGCACAAAGCCAGCACCAATTTGGAGGGGATTAAACCTTGCTATTTATATTTTCTTTATGCAGAAATGCTATTGATTAGATTTTAATTAAAGCAAGCTAGAATGTGGATTAAGTATGCCTTATCTGTGAAAGAAAAGTTAAACTTGTTCATGTCCATGCCTGTTGATTGGAATGAGATGTGGAAGTGGTTTGGGAGGACTGTCATCCTGGGCTCTCTTAGGGTCCATTTACCCTTTACTGATT